CCTTTATTTGTATAATCACTAGATTAAAGAATAGATTGTATATGTTCAGTGATGAATAACATTGAGCTACAAGACAATACAAATGTCTTAAATACTGTACTATAATAAGACGTGTATTACAGACCTACCATTATAGACACTAGAGACGTTGTTCATCACATACATATATTAGATTAGAATGTTTTTTAATTTGTTTGTATTCAGAGGAAAATCTCATCTGACAATCTATCATTGTACATTAAGTGGATTAACAGTAAGACACATTTTCTAGATCTGTTACTCGTGTCTTGTTCAAATTCCAAACGGTGCAAATGATATTCATGTATCTGTTTGGTATGGTTTTCTCTTTTCTTTTGATTTTTTTGCTTGGAATGTCAAACTATTAATAAAAATGGTCGGTCTTCTTTTCTTTACAGTCACAAGACTGCTTGATGTTATTTGTAATTTTGAAAATGACAATGACCTCTCAAACAAAGATAGCTAACAATTGTAGAACCTTTCAAAAATTATTCATATATCCAATTCATATATCCAACTCGGTTCCATGCAGTACATAGCGCTGTAGGTCTTATATAGATTGGGACAATTTTGATAAGAATCAAGTATTTTCAACCATATTGTAAAAGTAAATGTTTGAATTGTAAAGAAACTAATCGGGAATGTATTTTGAACTAATGAAATACGAAATATTAAGAAATAGCTTTCATTTTCAAACATAGTCAACAATTGACCTGTTTCTTTCTTGTTTGTAAACAGTGCTATTACTCTTTTACTCATCATTAGATAAATGAATATAAGGTAATCTCTGGTTAGTCTTAAATGTTTTTTGTGGCTACATTTTGTTACTTAAGTTTATAAAGTTTGTAAAGAGACATTTATGTCCATAATTTTATGTTAGTAAAGCTTATAACTAGAATTACATTCTTTATTTGCACTGCATAATTATTTTCCATACATATCCACCTAAACAATATAATAGCTAAACTCACCAGAGTTAATATTTTAATTATGTCTGTTCTGAGTCTAACTGAAATCAATGAATTTAAATGATTTGAGCGAAAATGTGCATGCTTTCTTTCTCTTACATGAATTAACTTACTTAATTTGAATGACCAAATTACATTTCATAATGCAATAATAATAATAATATTCAATGTCATAATATCTACAAAATATTTTTTTCTTGCTTTTGTTGGGTTGTATAATTACGATATTATGCTGCCGTTATATCATATGGCAAGATATGTCAAATAATTGCATTTTCACGTCTATAACAACAAAAAAAAACATTATACATGTATCTTTATAACTTTTTATCTAAATATATTTAGTACATTGGAGTTATGTAATGTAACTGGTGATTTTTTTTTGGTGATACGTATTTACTATATTATTTACACATATAGTTGACATGACTTTACGCTTATCATTTTTTTGTTATTTTAATGATATCAAAGAATACATTAAGATTTACTTTGTTTTCATATAATTCTTTGTTTTCTATTTCAAAAAGTCAACTCATATTTGTTCTAAATATATAATATATATGATGTGTTATACAAATCAAGTTTGATGTTCTAACCACCATGTTTTATGTTGTATTGTAATTTGATGTTTGTAATGATATACGTTGACAAGTTTCACTTTATTCTGTCAGTCTCAATAAGCACTCGGTCGTCTGATACTCCCCAGTAGGTTTTGTAAAGTTGTGATTTGCATAATAGGCATGCTTTGGTTGTCTGAGATTACTTTTACAGCAATTGTTTTGCTTCTATATCTGTAAGTTTTTGAGTGAATTGTTTCCCACAGGGATGTTGTACGAAACTTGTGATAGGCCTTTTCTACAAGAATTTACATGATTACCATGAACACAAAAAGTCAGTTATTGTGTTGTCTAAAATAATCTTATTTGTACGATGCCTTTGTGCAGAAGATAGTATGTACAAAATGTTTAAAACCAGAAAAACAGAATCCCTGAGAACACCTTATCGGCAAAAAATAAAGGTTTTGTTTGATAAAGCATTTTAATGGACATGAGTTATAAAGGCATGCTACCGTCCACGCCCAGAAGCACCGGTTAAAATAGCATTCAACATTTTTTTACATGAAATAAAAATTAAAATCTCCGAATCCGTGTAAATTTTGATTAAAATACGATTCACAACATCTGTTATATTTATATAGTTTAAAGGACATACCATTTAAAAATACAGATCTTCAAAATTATATTCTACTTGGCGATCTACACATAGTGAATTGACAGGTAAACATGTAAATATGGGCACTGGTGCATACGAATACCATAAAATTTACTTACATGTAAACGTTAAAAAGTATACTTTGAGTTTTTATCTAAATCAAAATGTCATTTACATTAAATGAATTAAAATGTATTGATATTAAGACTGAACACCATTTAAGTTAAAAATTTCAAAAGCTTTTAAGTCTGTGAAAGAGGGCAAAAAGTATAATTGTTTCAGAAAAGGAAAATAATTACACCCTGATGCTTAAAGTGGTAGCAAGTTTATTATATGTTCATAACAGAAATCTATAAAACGCTCTACATATCGTGCATTGAAAGGTAAACATGTATAAAAGTTCTATATTGGTGACAGTTGATCTTAGTTTTATGGCAGGTTATTTTAATAATGACAACAGCGTAAAACAGCAGCACGGTTATAAGCTATGGTCAGGCTATTTGGCGATAGCAAGCCCCAAAAAAATTACGAAAAATGCCGGAAATGCATTTATTTTCAAATTTTTTGCAATTATAATACTAAAAAAATTACATTGATGAAGATGTCGTATGCCGCATGCGACAGTCCTATACTAGAACATGTCTATAGGACGTATAATTTGACTGAAATTCGTGTCATTAATTCAGTTTCTTGACGTCGTTGAATAATTTTGTTTGCAGTAAAACTCATAAATAATTTTTAGCATGCATATTCGAAATGACGATGGGATGAAAACGCAGTGGTGTGTCTTGCTAGAATCCTTGCCGGTGGTCCGGTGACCCTGAGTTGCATTTGTTGAGCGCCATCCTTCCTTCTTGACTTTTTTATATTTTGATATCAGTCAAATCGGATTGAAATAGCAGGCTGTGAAGTAAACTTTAACTGTCAACCATGTTTTTATCAACCTAGAAAGCTTCACTTGAGACTGAAAATTTACCTACTTTTTTTTTTATTTTCGCTTCTCTCTAGATATCTGCTTGATATTGTTATAAAATCAGGTATCAAATGCTGTGAATAGAACTAAAGAAAATACGATGGTGGTTCTGGACTTAAGACTCAATAAAACTGAGTCAAAATTTTGTACCGATTTAGTTGTTTTCACAGCTCTCGGGGCGGGATCTCTCCTTTTATTTCATGTAAACAGTGTTTCTAGTTTAGGTTTACATAATTAGAAAGAAGGGCATTATCTGCAAATGAATCAAGCAAGCACATTTTCCTTATAATGTCAAATTAGTTGTTGTTTTTCAATTCAGGTAACTACATTTAAAATCGACAAGTAATCATTCATAAGCAAATATCCATGTTTGTGCATGATATAGCCTGTAACATGAAATTTATTTTAGTTCGTCCGTTTTAGAAGCTATCAACACTTAAAAATATTTTCGAATCCATTCCCTGAATTAACAAGTTCTCAGCAGTTTTCAACTCAAAAAAATTATGGCTTTACCGTCGTATGAACACACCTGTTGTGTTTCCAAAGTTAAAAGTTTCATAATGTTCATATTTAAAAGCTGATTTCATCTTAAGTCGATGGTTTGGTGGAGGATGCATGCTCTTTTGAATATTCCTTTCTTTCTGTATATTACCACCCCACCTGACCCCCACACCGATAATATTTGAGACCACACGGCAAGCAATCATTTGATAACTAGTATAACCGCAACTTATTACGTCTTGATTCCAACTGATTTAAATGTATGACGTTATATCCGTAAGTTTGATAAATTTGTTACTTTTCATGGAATTTAAATTTTGAAAAAAAAATAAAAATGTATTTCCAATAAATTGACACAAAATAATAAAACCGCTGATAAATTGAGATTAATATCATTTAATAACGTATTTAATTACAAACAGCTGACAATAGAAAGCCACAATATTGTTTTACATCTGTTAAATTATAACTCAAGTTAAATGAATTGATTTAAATATGCTATTGTACTTGTACGGAAATAATAACATTAATCATGTACTTCCAATATGCCTTTGATCAATTTTATTATGTACAAATGCATAGAGACGGGTTGAATTGAAACTCTGCATTTTACTTAAATATCAAACATTAAGATATCTATGTATCAAAACAGGAAGATACTTTGGAAGTTGACATGTGTATGTGTATCCAAAATAGAATCTAGTTCTGTGAAATTTGCGCTTAATGCATCTAGCGTACCAATTCTTTCTGAAACCTTGGGTTCGCTTCCCTAGAGTTGTCAGAGGTTGAATTTAAGAACATAATAATAAGAATGATTATGTACATGTATATTTTTCATTGATCTTGGTTTTGATAAGAAGTAACACCGACATGGTTGTACGTTTTATGTTTACTCTTTATACAAGTAACGTGTTAAAATTCAAATGTTACCTTTCTATGTATGCGTCATAATATTATCATAAAATTAACTTTAAACTGTTAAAAAAAAAAAATTTATAGTTCACTCGAATAAAATATCTAACATTGATGAATTGAAGAGAAACAGGATCCGGGAAAATAACATTTGGTGGTTTGAACATAGTAAATAGTTTTGTTTTTATTTCTACGAAAATATCAGGTAATTATTAATGCATTACGAAATACAATAAAGTGATATGAACTTTAAAAAACAATTAAGTAATTTGAAGGACACTTCAAAAAAAAAAAACTTTTTTCTCCTGCTTTGCGGTTTTAAACATCATGTTACATATACTTGTTTGTTGTTCTCAGGTGATAATCATTAGTAATGCTTTACATTGTGCAAGGTACTGCCTCTAACCACAAAGAACAGTAAACAACATTTGAAAGCTTAAAGATCCGGTCTTTAAGAAAAAAATGAAAATGCGCGCTTATATAAATAAAGACACGCTAACATTGGTCAACAAAGGAAATTTGTGAACGCAGATAAGTTATCAACGTTATATTTTAGTTTCGCCTTGATTTTAAGGTAAGTTGGGTTTTTGATAATGTGATATGTATTTAAACATTTCATAATTCTCATTATCTAACGAAATCAGATGGTGTTGTATATTATTGCTATGATATTTCCAATATGTTACTAACAGACTTACGTTAAGGGAGAAACCAATGACATGATAATAAAAAACGGTCTCGTGAAATAGCGAATATTTTATTTTTGTCCAAATCAAAACTTCAATCATGTTGCCAAGTTATTTCTTGAGTCAGTGTTCTACACATATGCATGAAACTTATATTGCATTGACAAGTGTAAGAAGTTAATATAGTAGTAAGAACTAGTAAATATAGTAGTAAGAAATGATTTTGCTAAACAATGTTCTATCTTAGTACTGCAAAAGTCCCTTTCGAGTGTCACATGCAGGAAACTGATGCATTTTGTATTGTTGTCAAAAAGTTAGAAAAGGTCGTCAAGAAATTGCAAACGTGTCAGAATGGGTGAGTTTGGAAAAGTATTCAAGTCATGGGTTATAGTTTTTCAAAAGTAAGTCAAACGGGAAACTATTAAAAAAACTTCGGGAGCTTAACTAAAACTGCAACCATTCTAGTGCCCGCTTGAACTGACCTCGGGCAGGGTGACAATGTGACCTTTGAATTTCTTCCGAAGTATAATTCTGTAGAGAGTCATTTTACAGGTGATAAAGTTTGTATTTGTTGACCAACAGCTAGGTTGTGGAAATAGGTAACATGTGACTTACATGCAATGTGTTGAAATCTTATGTCGTACTTTTATGTTGCATCTGTTATTTTGTAGAGTTCAATTTATAAATATTTATGAATGAATGGCTCTACAGTGCACCAACACAAGTTAGGTCATATGACGCCAAAACAGGACAGATAATTTTGGCAAACATCAGGGGTCAAAATCACCTCACCTGTTGGAGTTAAGAGATGCATATTGTGGTCATTCGCACCAATTAAACCCTTCAGCCACAAGAGGCATAAAAAGATAAAAGTAATATGTTTCAACAAAACATATAACATCAATTATCTTTTTTTTCCCAGTGTAATCTGTTGATGTCATTTTTTATTTACAGCCAGTTACCATGATATCAAATCAAGCCATCCTATGTGTTCTTTTTCTGGCAGCGTTTTGTATATCTGGGATTCTAGGGGCAGGTGGAAATAATTGTTGGGCTCCACCATCATTCTTTGGATCAGAATGCAAGTATGTAACACATTTATATATAACTCTGTAGTTTTTATCTTAAGGTATTGGAAAATTGAAAATAAAGTTGGGGTGTATGCTTATAATGCACTTTACGGTTTTGGACTTTCAGACAATTTTTTTGTGAAATTAAGTAACTAAATAATTTGTAATGTTGTCCTTTAAATAAAGTCTTTTGCATTTATAAACGTTTAAAAATGAAAGAATAAAAACACACATATATAACTGTATTGAATTAAATTATCTCCCTTTATATAAATAATGAATCGTGAATATGAAATGTCCCGATCGGTCTTTTGTACAAACACGATCATTTTGGTTGACCATTCAGACAAACTGTATTTGAAGCATATTGGTTGATGTGAGATTTTTACCAATTACTTTTGATTTTGTTTGATCTTGAATATATCAGGAATGATATTTAACATTTGACTTAATTCCTATACAACCAGTTTTATAGAAATAAAACAGTTTTATTACAAAACAATGATGACCCCAGTGAAATTTAAACCCAATGTTTATTAAGAAAGGCGTATCTTTATTTATATATAGAAGCTATATATGTTTAACCTTTTCTGCTTATCTCCTATCAGTGATACGCAATTTCCGCGTCAACAATTATGAATTGTGTATCTCTTTTAAAACAATACTCTTGAAAGACCAAACTTTGCGTTTAGTATAATATTGTATTGATAAAATAATATTATTCATATTCTTTTAGGTCAACCACATCTATAATTGGTCGCCCAGGTCATAAAATCGTGTATTCGATCAGCTTTAATGGAAATACTTTGCTTTGCTGCAAAGCTTTTTACTGCAGGAGCAATAGATGCAAGCTTTATGATATAGGATGCAGCGCTAGAAGTTGGAGGACAAATCGCCTGCCTTGGGGAAACAATCTTGCCACACCGTCACTACAATGCAAAGGCGTTGTTCTCGGAGCAGCTTATTCATTCACCCACTAGATTCCGGTTCAGACTCATGCCAAGTTCATAAGTTTATTTTTGAAAAATATCACAAATAACATTAAATTTGCTTCTTTTGTTTAACAAAATGGTTATACTGATTATACTATTATACCTTTTTCATTTATCTTTTTCAATGTATTGATTTAAAACAAGATTATAAACTGAAACAATGAAACAATTTGTACGTTCGACGATGACACGTGATGTATTTGAATAATTTTGAAATTTAACAATTCCCTTCATTTCATTTTTATCTATTATTATTATTATTTACTCTTAACCCATCCGTATTCCTTTACACACCTGACCAAAGCCTTGGAATATATTTGTGTTGGATTTTACTTGCACCTACAATTCTTTGGTCTTATGTTGAATTTCCAGCTTTTACTGGTTTAGGAAGACCTCTGATGCCCCTCCGTCAGGCACGGACACCTAAGCAGAACCACCGACGTTCTGTAAGCTAGCTCGATAGCTACCTAACAGTGAGGTTCGAATCATAAGCGGTGAATAGCCATTGGTTTAAATTCAGTACATTTAATGCATTTCAGATTAAACGTATTTATTAAGCTCAATTGCGAAACAAGTTCTTGCAACGTATATATTATTCACTTTCGAGTTCGCTCCCTGAAACCCACTAATACTTGTGTCTTTGACGAAACATGGGCGTGACCCAAGTAGGAACCTGGTCGGAGAGGTAGACACCTTTACTACAAGGCCACCACTCATCTTTAATACAATGTAATTTAATGACTTATATACAAATAGAAATACTTTAATACTCCCTAGGCCTTTTCACCACAATATTACACGTGTGAAATAAACTTAGCATTTTTTTAGACCGTTGCGAAAGGAACAAAGAAAGTAACATTACATTACACATTGAAAATTGCGCTTACAATCCACTTTAATAACTTTAAAGAGGTACACACATGTAAAAGAAAAACCGTACTGCATTAGGCACACGGTAGAAATATGGTAATATATAAAGAAAATCGCACATAGCAAGTAAATTATTACTTGCAGCTTGAATCTTTTAACTTTTCTTATTTAATTTTTACTTTTCATAAAATCTAAGTACAATTCTCTCATGTGTGATTTTTTTAGCAATATTGTGGCGTAACAGGATGAAAGATTTTTAGTTTCAGTTAACATAAATATTAAATTACAGCGAATATTTCTTTAAAGAAAGTGATTACATTTCCTGAATATTCCACATAAATTTCTTAACTACCTCAGAATAAGAATAAAATTCTCTTTGTGGATCTTTCAAGCTGAATGTATAGCACATTGAAGCAATGCTTTATTTCACAAAAATATACTTTAAATTGAACTATGATTTTTACTTAAGGTTTAAAAATCTACTCTAATTGCAATCAGAAATTCTATCTCTTATGTGTGTGTGTGTGTGTGTGTGTGTGCGCGCGTGCGCGTGTGCGTGTGTGCGTGTGTGTGTGTGTGAGTGTGTGTGTGACATAGTAGATAATAAAACAAGCTTGTAACTTATGTCAGGTAAAGACGTTTTCCTGACAAAGTTTTTAACCTTATTGGTGCTCATATTGCATATCCAAAACAATATCAAATGTGCACATTGTATTAAGTAGACAAAAGGAAGTGTCTTTAAAAATTAATGTCAGTTAAAATAAAGCAAAAATATAAAATAATGTTTAAGTAAAGATATAAAACCTACTATAGATTTTCAATCTTTAATTAGGTATACTTGTATTGTGACATTTACACCAAACATCACGGCATTAAGGAAATTCTAACGTAATTATTTTGAAGCTATAATATCTGTTGAAAATATATTGTATAAGTTATTAGTAATACAAGTTGCTGCTGGGATATAGCCTAAATGACATTAGTTTATCATGTAAGTACTTGTATAACAAATTTATAATAAAGCAAATTGCTTTTGACGACTAGTTTATAAGAAAACTTAGCAACTTCTAGACTGTTTTCAAAAAAGTACGGAAAATAAAGCACACGTGAATAACATAACGTCAAAGGCTACTCTATTGTTGTGCATTAAAAAGTAATTAAAATTTAAAATCATCATAGCGGTGCAACTTTTAACTATATATTTGAAATAATGACATTTAAATAGAGAAATATGCCACAAAGAACAAAACACAGTAATAAATTTGTTTTATAGGACAGCATATGTTTTGTATTCTGTATTTATCTATTTTATAATCACATCCGTGTTATTTGTGCCGTGTGGCGGCTGTAAAAAGTCGTCCCGTACATTTAATCAATGATGTTATAATTTCGATTCTTGAAGATCGTTCAGCACTACATTATTTTTGTGCTTGTGGTATTTTTAGTTTCAACTTTTCGACATTTTCTAGTTGGGTGGTTCCAATATTCCTACTTGAATAATGTAGAACCACCCTTAGGATATGTTGCCTGCTTTTTAAATTTGTCTTTTGACGTCTTATCTGTGATACGCAAGCTTCATAACCTCTGATTCCTTTTCAAAATTCCATTTTATTTAGTTCCACCAATTGCTTTCTCGTTTAGGGCACACGCTTTTTATTACTAGGGGACCATACGCCGCTTTTCATGGAATGGCATGGAAGTGTCACATTGAAGGTTCCATGATAACGGCCGTATAAACACATCTGCGGATGTTTCAAAATTATAATTTTTCCAGTTCATATTAAATGTTGAATTCTGCTTAAGCCGGTGCAAGGGGGCGTGGACGGTAACTTGCACTTTCCAGTACCGTTCATGAACAGGCTCAATCAAACCGAGCCTGCAACATTTTCAATTTTGCCGTGTTGGGCTTCCTTTAGGGATTCTGTATTTATCTATTTCATTAAATGAAGCTTTTAAGATTACCATGATGTTTAGATTAATTTCCACGTACCCTATCAAGTTTTCTCTCAGATGGTTCTCCCCTTCATAAATTTGTTATTTGTTTTCATAATTTACAGATGAGTGGCAGAGAAAATGTGCAAAGAAATAAATAATATAAAATATCAGATATATGCGACAGTTATATCTATGTTTAATGCAAATTAATTATGAAGGGTTTGACACAATATCGCATTCTCTCCATCACAACGTTTTGATTTTTGCCAATTAATCGTTAACAGCAATACGAAATGCATCTTGTAGAAGACGTACAAAACAGTTTTAAGGATCAGACATATAAAGAGAAGTAACTGCTTCAAAAAAGTGCCCTTTCACCTAATGTTGGTGAAAGATTGTTGTTTTTGTAGTTTTTGATTAATTAACCCTTTACCACATGAGCATATTGTGAAAAATGGCCGTTTTCATTGAAAAACTCCCTGTTACAAGTTCAAACTGGTATGAAACTATGAAAATGCTTCAATACTAATGAAACTGGGCAAAATGTTGACTGGACCATAGACTCTGTAACGGCATGCTAAATCTTAAATTTCCTGTTACCATGGCAACGGGGAGACGTCTCAAAATTGCCAAAAATCACTATTTTACATTATTTATTTTTTCATCAATACTGATTTCAAAGTGCTACAACTTCTGGATTGATATAGAGTAAAAGGCTTTTCAGCGTTGGCAACACGTTACCTAACGATCGACCTGGGGTCATTTTTAGCCTGTCACATGTCCAAAATTTCCTTAGCGATGAAGGGGGCTACTAGTACTGCCCCCTTCATACTCCCGAAACAGAAGGGGGCATATCCCCTTCTGTGCACCTTTTTGTTAGGGGAGGTGCTGAAAAAGTGACCACTTTTTATCAACATTTCTCAAACGAAATAAACAGTGTTTTGGGGCCTAAATAGGGTATTTTTTCATCCTTAGACCTCAAGGGGGTAGCAAAAATCGTCAAAACACATCTAAATGAAGTAAAGGGTTAAAGCCCCGGCAATCTAAACTTACCCTAAGCAAAGGTAATTTGACCATGTCTTATAGATAACATACATGTAGTCATATACTAATACTTAGTAATTTCAATAACACTATTTTCATAATCAATGGAATAGGTTTTTTTTTCATATATGTTTCCAGATTATGAAAAGTTTGTTTACAAATTAATATATTACTTTAAATCAACTTTTTAACAGCTGATCAAATCGTAGATTAAGTTAAATAAACAACAAGAAACTATGCAAGGAAAACATCAGAAATAATAAAATTTTGCAGTGTTGTTCTAATTTATAAAAAATAAAAAATGATAGAGGCAGACGACCTATTTCACTTTTAAATTTAGAAGATTAAGAAGGCTAATTAATCTTTATTAGATTATATCATTGCAATAACAATTAATGAATATGATCATTACTAAAGATACCTGTTTTTGTTTTATCAAATACTTGTAGAATTAATGAATAGCATATAGATACTCCTTAATGAAGTTTATCTCAGACACAAGAATATTAAACCACTTAAATATGTGACATACATATATTTACCTAAGCATAGTTTTATTTGTAAACAGGAGATGTCACGTAGTAACTAACCCTATCAAGATCGTCTATATAGATTGGATAACTTTATATTATACATGTGTAAACATTTAGAAATGTAGCTGATATATACAATAGTATGACAATCCTTATATTTTACAATTTCAACTCATTTAACTTCACTGCAGTAAATTTATTTCCCCTGTATTTACAAAAGGTTTTAATTTTAAAAGATCATGCCAAGGAGTTCATTTTACTATTTACCTATTCACCTAACCGTCACAATCATCACTATAATTATCATCAGCAAAGTTATCAACATGCTTATCCTTACCCTCACAATCATCACTGTAATTGTCATCAGCAAAGTGATCAAAATGCTTCTCCTTAACCTCGCATCCATCACCATAATTATCATCAGCAAAGTAATTAGCGTGCTTCTCCTGACCCTCACAAATATCATTCAAATTGTCATCAGCAAAGTTATCAAAATGCTTATCTTTACCCTCACAATTATCACTGTAATTATCATCAGCAAAGTAATCTACATGCTTCTCATTGTGTTTACAACCATCACTAAAATTATCATCAGCAAAGAAATCAAAATGCTTCTCCTTAACCTCGCATCCATCACCATGATTATCATCAACAAAGTAATCAGCATGCTTCTCCTGACCCTCACAAATATCATTCAAATTGTCATCAGCAAAGTTATCAAAATGCTTATCTTTACCCGGACAATCATCACTGTAATTATCATCAGCAAAGTTATCTACATGCTTCTCATTGTGTTCACAAACATCACTAAATTGTCATCAGCAAAGTAATCAAAATGCTTCTCCTTAACC